AGAGGGCTTGTAACCAAAAGGTTGCTGGCTTGATTCCCCACTGGGGCACTGCTGCTGTACCCTTGAGCAAGGTACTTAACCCAGAATTGCCTCAGTAAACATCCAGCTGTAAGAGCATCTGCTAAATGACAGTAATGTAATGGAACATGTTTTTTTTTTTTTAAGTAATGTCAGGAGTTTAATCTACTGGAATGCACAAGGAAATTGCAAAAATCATTCCTACTTTCTTGGTGTATGTTAATGACTCATTTTGGTCTAGTTTGGTCAGTTCCTGAGTGGTGCAGCCAGCTAAAGCGCTCACTCCATGTACTGACCGCTCCCCTTAGCTGGGTTCAAGCAATATATTTATTTGCAGCTTCAGATATATATTTACTTCCAGCTTCAGAACAGCATTTCTGATGAGAAAAGATGCTTTAAGAGGAAGAAATATCTTCCTGCTCTTTTCCTAACCTGAAACACTTTGAACATTGTATCAGTTGCACGGTCTCTCTCTCCTCGTCTCTGCGCTCTCAAAAGCCATCCTGCTGCGGGCCCCCCGCTCGTGTCCTGGACACCTTTCATCTGCTACACGTTATCTGCGCCTTACCCCCCCAACCGAAACCCAAAAAGCCAAGAACAACAGGCCACCATGCATGCATAGCGCTCCAGGACGGTGGGAAACGCAAGCTTTTCCCCATAAATGTGATTTCACGCGCGTTTGGGAGGGTTCCACACATCTGCTCCTCGCACATGCTGCGAGTCCCTCAGGCTGGAGAACCTCCGCGCCAACCGGCCCCGCTTCCCAAAGAAAACCCCGAAAAATTAATCAAATAGGATCGCTCCATTCTGGATGGGAACCCAGAGAGTTCCCAGGAACAGACGCCTCTGAACAGCGAACCGGAGCGCCGATTTGTTTGTCTTTAAACTCACGCGAAAAGTCGGCGGGATCAGAGAGGTGGGTGAAGGGAAGTTAGCTGAGCCCGGACCTGGGGGGCACGCAAACCTGCACGCTCGAGACGGGGCGCCAGTCATGGTGCTGTTACCCACAATCCACCTCTTTAGATACTGAATGCCAAGCAGAAAGACAGTGGGTACCATTTATACATCCTACTGACTGACAGACTCTCTAATCACAAGGCAACTGAACCGGTGCGTGAAACTACCAAGACTAAAATAACCAAATAAAGCGCAGCATTGCTTAAAGTGCAAAAAATATTCCAAGTCTAAAGTAACCAAATTAGACAGGCATTACTTAGAAGTAGCGATTGGCTTTACTGTCAGTTCCTTGAGATTTCCTCTCAGGCACATTCAGCTGCTTTAGGAGGGAGTACCTGGTCATGCTGAGAGACACATACAGCACAGAGGAACTGAGAGAGAGAGAGAGAGAGAGAGAGAGAGAGAGAGAGAGGACAGAGCAAGCAAACATGTCACTCCTCCCAGAATAAACATGGCCTCCCTCCGTCTGTGGTTTGTGTGTGTGCATGTGTGTAGATGTGTATACATGTGCGTGTCTGTCTCAGTCTATGTTTGAGTTTGTCTGTACATGTGTACACAAGTGTGCACAGTCAGGGTCTGTGTTTCTGTGTGTGTGTGTGTGTGTGTGTGTGTGTGTGTGTGTGCATGCAAGTATGCCTGTGTGTGTGTGTGCATGTGCGTGTGCGTGTGAGTGTGTGTTTGTGTGTGTGTGTGTGTGTGTGTGTGTGTGTGTGTGTGTGTGTGTGTGTGTGTGAGAATGTCAGGGTCTGTGTGTTTGTGTGTTACTGTGTGTGCGTGTGTGTGTGTGTGTGTGTGTGTGTGTGTGTTTCAGCGTGTGCGTGTGTGTGTGTTTCAGTGTGTGTGTGTTTCAGTGTGTGCGTGTGTGTTTCAGACGGGGGACGGTGCAGTTTCTGCTCCCGGGTGGGTGAATATCTGAGGGCTGTTGAAGGGACTCTGTGAGTAATGATTGGCCACAAGCTGCCAGGGAGGCCTGGGGACGGCGAGAGCAGGGGCAGCATTCAGCCAGCCCAGCAGCAGAAACAACCACGTCAGCAGGAAGCCCTTCTCCTGCCAGGGCACACTCTCCCCGTCTGGAGGGAGGGAGGGAGAGCTGGAGAGATGCAGGGCTGGAAGGGGAGAGAGGGAGGGAAGTCCTGCTTACTCCCCAGGTCACGCGAGGTCCTCGGGATTACCAAGCTGATCTCAGTAAAACAGCACAAGCTCCTCTCCACAGATGTGGCAGCTTTGAGACCGGGGGGAAAACCGTTTTAAACAATGTTGTAGAACTCCACAGCTCCTCATCTAGCTCTGTGTGTGTGCATGTGCATGTTTGCCTGCACGTGCGCGTGTTGCCTCTTCAACACCCAAGGACAGGTTCATTATCTGTGGCCTGGCAGCATCACCCCGCCCCACTGTGAGGTCACAGTGCCACAAACCCCCGGCCAATCACAGTGCTTCAGGGTCTCCCGCACCATCAGCATTCCAGCCTTCCAGCAGCTCCCAGGCCAGGTGACCCTGACCCAGCCGCCCACAGCTCTCTGACCGGAGCCGACACCTCTCTCTCACACACACACACACACACACACACACACACACACACACACACACACACACACCCCGGGACAGAACTCTGCCCTCACCTGTGCCACTGCTGCTGAACATGAACAGGACTCTGCAGAATAGACTGCCTTTCAAAGGGAAACTGTCCCACATAAACAGCTTTCAGCCACTGCTGCTGGTCACCCTCAAGAGAAGCTTACACAACCTGCGTTTGACAGGTTCTCTGTTTATGCAGGCAGGTATCGACCGGGGCAATTCTGGAGAAGCACCTTTGTCCAACGGTGCAACAGTACCGGCTCATCTGGGAATGGAACCTGCAACCTTCTAGTCACAGGCCCGGTTCCGTTCTCGAGCGCTGGTACAGGCAGCTGCGGGCCACTCCGCTGGCAGGAGGTCAGCAGCTCAGTCCGCTCCTCTGCGGCTGCGGGAACATCTGGAGCAAACCCCTGCCGCCAGCCCGGCGGCCGCCGCGGCGCCCCGGGCCAGACGAACTCCCTGACCCCCCGCTCGGGGCGGCGGGACCAGGAGGAAGCGTTTCATTTGGCTCCGCCGGCCCGGAGCGCAGCGGCAGGAGGAGGGTTTGGTAGCTCCGAGCGCAGGCGGCCGCCGGGCCCCCAAACTCCACCCCCACCCCGGGACAGACAGGGCAGGTCAGGCTCAGAGACTGCCGAGCGCCAGGTCCGAACGCTGCCGGGAGGGGCGGGAGGGGTCGGAGTGCATCTGCCGTCTGACGTGATGAACAGCCTGACACTTCCAGCACATCTGCTAACACCTCCTGCACCTCCCTGCCCTGTTCACACCCCTCAGAGCTCCCTGCCCTGTTCACACCCCCCTCAGAGCTCCCTGCCCCGTTCACACCCCCCTCAGAGCTCCCTGCCCTGTTCACACCCCCCTCAGAGCTCCCTGCCCTTTTAATATTAAAGGCCTGACACAAGCCTTCAATACACACACACTCACACTCACACTCACACACTCACACAAACACACACACTCGCGCATGCACACACTCACACACGCTGGCACACACACTTGCACGCACACAAGCACACACGCACGCACGCGCACACGCACACACACAAACACACCAAAACAGATGCACACATGCACACACAAACGCACGCACACAGATACACACATGGATGAAAAACACACACACACATCCTGAAAGAGACTAAGTTCCCTCAGAGACCAGAGACAACCCAGAAAGCCAGCGCTCAGTGTCCTCTCCCAGTGTCACTCCAATAAGCCCTTCACATCTGCATCGCCGGGGCGCCAGTTTCCATAGCGAGGGATGTCCCCCATCCTCGTAACCATGCCGATACCCAGGGCCAAAGCAGGAGGACACCGAGTCCTGCAGAGGATTTAGAGACTGAGGTCTGTCAAGGTTTCCAATCTTCCCTGGAAGCCTCCATCACATATTCCTGCTTTCAGTGGCAGTGTGGAAAAACTGACATGTTCTCTTAAATACGGTTAAATGTGAAACGTGTCCCAGATCCCGTTAGCAGGGTCTGTAATATCAACAAATATTTCCCCTTTTCTTCTGATTAGCCCACCTTTTCTATTGTATGTTTTATTGAAGGTACAAGCAGCGTACACTCACAATAATACCTAGAATACACAATAAATACCTCAGACAAAATAAATACATGACGACAAACTTCATCTGTACTTGTGACTTTGTATCCATCATTTTATGTCTAGCATTCATTGTCGAAATGATTTCCCCCTCTTTTACATTACATTATTGGCATTTAGCAGACAATCTTATCCAAAGCAACTTACAAAATACTCAGTTTCTACATCTTATCCAGCTGGATATTTACAGCAATTGCCCAAGGGTACAACAGCAGCGCTCAAATGGGGAATTGAACTGGCAACCTTTTGGTTACGGGTCCTGCTCCTTACCACTACACATCAAACAATTTATCACAGTTATCAGAAACCATTTGACAGTTTTTTTTTTAAATTCTCATTCTCTTTTCCCCAGTGCGCTGCATAGTGGTAAAGAGCAGGACTCTCTTTGGCGGGACGGGGGAGGGGTAGGACTCAGCGTTTGGGAAGCTGAGCTTTGGGGCAGAAGGTCTTGTGCTCTAAGCAGGAGTACCGCTGAACACTGCCCAGCCTGTGAGTTTGCACTGCTTCAGTACCGTAACCCTTCCGTGCGAACGGATGACACGCTAACAGAGAGCGGCCGCAGCCTCCCTGAGAGGCCGCTGATATATGGGGGGCGTGGCAGCTGAGGGGGTGTGTGCCTACCTCCTGCCTGGGGGGCCCGAGTAACACAGAACGCTGCAGTGCCCCCCACGGACTGGAGCTCGGAGCGCTCCTCACACATTACAGTACATTATATTACATTATTGGCACTTAGCAGATGATCTTATCCAGTGGGACTTACATCAATTACAGTTTTCTACAATGTTTTCCATTTATACAGCTGGATATTTACTGAGGAAATTGTGGGTTAAGTACCTTGCCCAAGGGCACAGCAGCAGTGCCCCCATGGGGAATCGAACCGGCAACCTTTCGGTTACGAGCCCTGTTCCTTAACCACTACGCTACACTGCCGCCCCACCTAGCCCCGCTGCCCCCCTGGCGCCCGGTCCAGGAAGCGGCGACACGGAAACACTGGAGGAAACGCGAGCATATTTGAACAGCCGTAAATCTCCGACACGGTGGGACCAGGTTGCGTAACGGTCGCTCACTGCTGCGGGCATTCGCACCGTTAATATGATGTCAGCAGGGCGGGCAGTAACAGCGGCAGCAGTGTCGCGTAGCAGTAAGGAGCAGGGCTCGTAACCAGAAGGTTGCAAGATCGCTTCCCACTGCTGTCATCACCCTCGCACCTAACCCAGAATCGCCTCAGTAAATATCCAGCTGTATAAATGGATAAAACTGTAACCTCTTTAGGCTGTTCTGGATAACAGCATCTGCTAATTGACAATAATGTAATGTAATGTAACACAAAGGGTTCCCACAACGCATATGTGGACCAGTATGTGAGTTGCAATAAAGACTCGTTCTCTCACCTACAGACATATCCACGTTTTGAGGTGAATGGCACCGTGGGCCTCCCTGTCTCTGACGCCCACCGTAACTCCCCTCCTGACAGAAGAGCAGAGCGCTGGTAGAACCGGACCGCAGGGGTTTCCGGCAAGCGAGGAGTTTGAGTGTGGGTCGAAATAGCCAATGAAACGCGCAGGATCTGCGGGGCTGGGTCAATCCCGTGTGGCGCGGAGGCCGTGTGACACGTGGACCCGGGTAATCAGCCGCGCCTCCCCCCCGCTTCCCGGAATGAGCGGCAAAATCTGCAAAATTACATACGGACAGCGCGGACGCGAGAACGCGCCGGGGCGGGCCGCTCGGTGCGCCGGGGGCGTCGGGAGAGGCGCGAGACGCAACGCACACTCGACTCAGGGAGCCGCGCTGAGCCCGTCGGCAGCTTACACAGCACACAAACTAAACACACCGCGCAAACCGCTACACACCCCCCCTCCCCCTCCAAAACGAACTGTCACCCAAATGAGTGTGCACTTTGCAAACCGAAAATATAGTTTGCATTAGCAAAACGCTCAGGGAAAAAAAGCCTGGATCCGTTGGGCAACGTTCGCAAACATTTGCGCAGTTGGACGCACCTGAGAGCAGCAGGGAGAGTCTGCCCAGGATCTTCTCAGCACCTCTACGCGCCCACCTCGAAAACAAACAACGCAGGGGTGTCAAAACAGCTCCCTGGGGGGGTGAGAAAAAGCTCTTCCTCTGGCCGTCTGTCACACGGTGCCGCCTGTCCTGCAAACATTTGCTTCCCGTGGATTCTGCGGCCTTTCCGACCAAAGGTGTGGTGTGAAAGGAGCCAGTGCTCCTCAGAGCAGGAGAAACCCTCCCGGTACCGGCCTGCTCGACCTCAGCACCCTGCGGAGCTGCGCATTTAAGCACACACCAGACCGGGGAGGGGGGGCTGGGGACTCCGAGCGACTTGGGGTGGTGAGGGGACGGGACTCTCACAGGTGCGGGAAAGGGACTGAGCACTGAGAGGTGGAAAATTGGGGACAAAAAGTGTCCTGTCATTCTCAGAACTCCCAGGAAAAGCACAGAACTCTAGCTGCTGTCGTTTTTTTCTTCCTCTCTTCTCCCCTCCCCTCCTTCTCTCCCTTCCTTCCTTCCTTTCTTTCTTTCTTTCGGTCTCAGGTGAGGAGTGTAAAAACAGGCGAGAAAAACAGCCAGCGTCCATAAACGGCGCCGTTTCTGGGGGAAAGGTTTCCACGGCCGGGCCCACGCAGAAGCCAAAGTGCCGGAAGAAGCTGGAGGCGTTCAGCAAACCGTACTGTCCACAGGCTAAACAGCGCTGGCTCTGTGTGAGCGCTTAAAGTCAGGGTGCTGGCCTGAGGTTCACTTAATGACAAAGAGGCCTCTCTCTTAAAAGCAGTGTTTCTGCAGGCATCCGCAACAGCCTACACAGCAATTAAAACGCCAAACCATTTCTGTGAAAACAGAAAAATGAAAAATAAATGCTGTGAGTATACATTTGTGACTGTGTGTGTGTGTGTGTGATTGTGTGTGTGTGTGTGTGTGTGTGTGTGTGTGTGTGTGTGAGCGTGTGTGTGTGTGAGCATGTGTGTGTGTGTGAGAGAGAGTGTGTGTATGTGAGTGTGTGTGTGTCCTGCAGTTTTGTATGACCCCCTAAAGGTCACTTCAGAAACTGTTGAAGGATGACAGGGCAGAAATCTGAGCAAGCTCTAATTACAAAAGTCACTATTTCATAAACTCATTCCTTTCTCACAGAAAGCCAGAAATTTCAGTCCCACCCATGCCCCCCCCCCCCCCCCCAAAAAAAGGGAAACGATTCTTTTCACTAGAGTGTGCCAGACTGCAGGCTCAGCAGAAACACAGCCACACACACCACCAGGCTCTCCGGCAGAAACCGGGCGCCGAGCAGCCTGTTAGCACGTCCCGGGGGACTTACCCGCACACTGCCTCCGGGGAGCCACGCCTCAGCGTGGGGGCGTGTCCCTGCAGGTCCCCTCCCCTCTCCCCCCTCCCCTCTCCGCTCGCCTCTCCCCCTCTCCACTCCACTCAGGCACTGATGAGCGCCACCAACAGACTGCTGTTTCTGTCCGTTTCTGCTTTCCGTGGCTGTTACTCCCCCCCCCACAATGCACCACTGCTGCCATCACAGCCTGACCCAACACGAGGGCTGAGACCCTGCGGTCGGGCCGCCGGGGTCTGTGTTGGTGCTCGTGACCGGGCACGTCCGCCGGGCCAGGTGGAGGAGGGCGCCCTCAAACACACCCCCCGTTCCATGCTTCACACGTGAGGATCGGCAGTCTGACTGACACCTTCTGATGTGTTACACAGTATCGAAGAAACGCCAGCTTCACGGCTGTGAACGCTGCCGTCAGAGCGCAGGTGGCCCAGGGAGAGACCCGCCCCCCTCCCACCCCCTCCCGGAACTCGGTGTGCGCTGGCAGGATTAAGCAGGAAGTTCAGCACAGCGGTACGCTTTCTCAGAACGCAGGTCCTGAGAACGCCAGAAGACGCCCAGCAGGTTGCGGGCTCGCTCGCTCCACCCGAGCGCACGGGTGTGCACTTTGACCCTGGTGATTACGCTGTGTATCCCAAACGCACGATTCTGCCGACAGCCTCCCACCTCCTCCCGCGAGGGCTCGGGGAATCTGGACCAGGATGTGGGCTGCTGGTTTATGGTACTGCACTTCCCTAAGCACTCTTATCTGGAGACCGCACCACACCACAATTTATGCTGGAGACTCTGACGTCCAAGGTTGGTCACACGAACACAACCCCCCCCAAACTGCTGCCTCAGCACTGAGTCTATTTTTGAACGACCGTTAAACACGCAAAACCAACACAAACCCGAGGAGCGAATTCCCCGTTGCCGTGACCGAGGACGGGGAAAATGAATTCCCACCGCTCCCCTCAGTGCAGAATGCTGCTCATTCTCCACATTTTTTCAGCCAATTCTGTTTCTCTCCCCCCCGTGACATCAGCGTGAACCACGCTATCAAAACAACAGACATTAACGTTTCTCTTGCGTGGCAAAACTTAAAAAAAAAAAAAAAAAAAAAAAAAGGAGAGGGGGTGGTGGTGGTGTTTGGTCAGAGTTCCCAGAATTCCACACAGCTCAAAGAATCCTGACGCAGAAAGGAAAACATTTCAATCTGACCGACGAGCGTTGACGTGGGATCAGCGCCTCCCTCTGTTCTCTCCGAAAGCAAATATTTGCAAACTTCACGCACTCGCACCCAGTCAACACACTGAGGAGGAGAGCAAACTCAGGGTAATCCGGCAAACCGTGCACCCAGCCACACCCACAGAGTCACTGCGAGGCACTGCAGCTTCCCCGGGGGCGTCCGTGGCAGAGAGACATGCGTGACGTGCTGACAGGAGAGGCTTCTCTCGGCTGACGTACCTTGGATGCACTGCAGGGACCCGTCCTCGGCCCGTATCGTGAAGGTTTCCCCCGGGTTCACCTGCACCAGGATGACCTGCGAGGAGGAGAGGGGTCAGTCAGGGGAGTCCCAGCTGCAGCTAATCATTACCCATCATGCCTTTCACTCCTTCGGCAGGGCGGAAAAGCTCACACTTCCATTCACACGCTTCCCATTGCTGGATATTCACCGAGGCAGCCCGGGAACCGGCACACTCTGCTCCACACGGGATTCGAACCCGCAGCCTCGTGGTGTTAAATCTAGGTTCCGTACCACTTACCGCTGCGCCTCACAGTCACCCAACACAGACAGGCAGCCCTGCTGTCTCCGCTGGCAACAAGCGGAATTTAAAAACTCGTGAACTCAGACCGCCATGAGACTCATCCGCCACACGCTCTCCTGCGAGTTTCACGGCACTCTGATCTCCGTGGGGGGGTGGGGGACCGGGGGCAACTCAGTGCATCACAGCGTCAGCCTCGGATACAGGAGTGCATCGCTGGAGGGCTCCGCCTCGGGTTCAAGGGCGTTACAGTATCAAAAGAGAGCGCTGATCACAAATCAACTCTCGCGATAAGGTTTATTGGTAATCAAGTTGAAAGAAACAAATCACCCAGCTCCATGTCAACAGAAAAAGGAGGATCTTTCAGGACCCCAGCTGTCTTGCACAGACACCGTCCCACAAGCTAAGAAACTCGTTTCACACCCTTGACCTGCCCGTTTTGATGAAATAAAGACAAGCCAGGCGCACCCTAAAAAAATGTGCGACACACATCACAGCATCTCACCACATTCCCTGAGCGAGGAGCGTGTTCAAGGCATGAGGGCAGCATGGCCTCTCTCAGAGTCAGGCCACACCCATTCTGCCCCTCCTCCAATCACAATGCCCGAACCGCTCCACTCCCGCCCTCCTCCTCCTGTAGAACTGTCTGCCGCTGCCGCTGCCATGGGAACCCCAGAGTGTTCTTCCGCAGCCCAGTAAGAAAATAAGGGAATGAGAATAAGGAACCCCCAAGCTAAAAGGCCACATCATTCCCACCTTTCAGACAGGTGTATGACAGCGTATGACTGGAGCATATAAACATGGCAGGATAACAGGCCGTTCTGAAACGAGACGTCTCAAATATT